GCTAAAGCCTTATGTCAATTTGGTGCGCTCCGTGGGAAGTTATTTTCTGCATGTGTAAACAGTGGCGAATCTAGAGCCTTAGTAGGAGGTGCATTTGCCCACCATGATTTTTTGTTTTTTCATAATTTTCTTTAAGTAATTAAAATTTCTTGGGGAAATGCCCCCTGTAAAAATTAGTTAATTGCCCCTCATAAAAAAAGTTTTTGCATTCGCCACTGTGTGTAAATCTTTTTGTGGGAATTATAGAAAATAAAAAAAAAGATGAAAATATCTTTTAATCACACATTGCGTTTTAATTATTTAAATACCATATACATCTATATACAGTGTGTGAAAATGGATAGGTGTTGCATTTTCTATGGACAAGGATGCATTTGATGTTTATGGCCTCAATTATGTCATTTTCTTACATATTTGCTTCCTTGTCGATCGATTGTGTGATCAGACAATTATGAGGGTATATACCTTATATTTTTGCATAGCATGATATGAACATATATTAAACGTTAATTAGGATCGTCTGCGTGTGTATGTTTTTTTGTCAACTTAATTCAGTTGGGTATGCTCTATCTATTAATCAAAAGATAGCATCATTTTTTTGTAACAAAAATGGATCTTGCAGACAAAAATTACAAAAGAAACCTTCACATGTAAAGAGTGCGTGTGGGGTGCTATTGCTTGCACGAACAAATAAGAGTGATGGCTTTGACCGATAGAGTCCCTACCGAACCAAAGAGGTTTTTGTATACGGCAATGATTTAATTTGCTTCGACAAAGAAAATTCAAAAGAAACAAATACTAATGAACACGTTTTTCAGCCATTAAACATATCGCAATCAGCTACCATAAATGCAGATGCAAATGCAGTCTTTAGCTTTTAATTAGTTTCGACCAAAAAAAAAAAAGCTTTTAATTAGTATTATCTGAATGGAATCGTGGGAACATAATAATAGTTCCATGTCGGAGAGTGCACCAGAAAGAAATAAGGAGGTAGACTAATAAAACTTTATTTATCCTCAAGTGCTTTGTAAACTTTACTATTAAAAGGAAACAAATGATAGATCGATTTATAAATTATAACCGATAACAATATTAACAAGGATACTAAAACATCAGATGCTAGATGTGAATGTGAATTTGAATGGCGATGACCAAAATGGTGATAATAGCGAAGAAGAGAATGGCATGAACCAATATTGAGATGCCGCTTGTGGTCATGTTGCCGCACTCCAACACTCTCCTCCTCGCCGGCAGCTGAAAGAGAAGCCCCGGCGATAATACTACGAACAGCGCAACCGCAACCGCCACCGGCCCCCAATCTGCTCCTCCCATATCTACCTCGATCGGTTAGACCTCCAAAATATTCGATCGTTAATTTTATTACGAGGTGTCAAAGAACTAGCTAGAGAGACATTGATTAGTTGTATATATACACACAAGTGTATTATACTTTGTTAAAGCTTAGAAATTGATGAGATTATTTAAGGATGACAGAAAAAGGCAGATACTTGATTGGTATCTTCCTTTCTTGTTGAACAGATCTCATCAGTGGCTTCTTTAAGAGACCACATTTAGTGGCTATGTACATAAACTTTATGAAAAGTTAAAAGTCTTGATACTTGATTGCGTTTATTGGTTTGGTTTCGATTCTTTTCTACTTTCCACATGCGTCTTATCCTCATTTGATTGGTAATAGCGTTAGTGCATAATGATAATATATGCATTATATTTTGTTGATTATGCTAATTTATTCATGATGTTTTTCTTTACATATTCAACGATTTCGTACGTCATTTGTAGTTTTACCAACAGAAGAACCAGTATACATGCATATCAAATACTGATCAGTCATAGAATTAGAGTAAGACTTTTAATCAAACATATTTTGTTATATTTGAGCTTATTTAACCCAAAAAAAAAAAAAAATTGAGCTTATGAAATGATCTCAACAAGGATGCATGGAAATGACTCACCAAGACAAGAATCATATGCTTAGGCTCCAAAACAAGCAATATTATATTCGAATTACTTAATTAATTTGCATAGATCATGATAATAGTTTGAAATGTTCTTTCCGTCATCCTACAAACTTGAGAACCATCTACTTTAGTCCTGCTCAAGCCACATTAATGGTTTCATCCACACACATGAATGCATGCATGCATAAATATAGATCAAAGCACATATAAACTCGTAGATATATTATATATATAGAGAGAGAGGGATCAGAGAGTACATATAGAAATAGAAGAAGAGAAATTAAAATGGGTTCGGACTGGGGACCAGTGCTGATGTCGGTGATCTTGTTCATCTTGTTGAGCCCAGGAGTTCTGTTTCAGCTGCCGGGAAAGAGCAAAGCCGTTGAGTTCGGTGGGTTTCAGACAAGCGGCCCCTCCATTGCCGTCCACACTCTCATCTTCTTCACCTTCATCACCATCTCCCTCCTCGCTCTTCACATCCACATCTACGCCGGCTAGCTACTTTATCCCTAGCTTCTCCCTCACGTTAATTACCCCTTCGCATTCATTCCCATAGATAG